ATTTAAACGTGCGTTTGCTGGCTGGATAGCTAGCTCTGCTTCCTAGAGGTGGGTTGTATTTAGTTATTCGTTTAAGCACATGCCCGTATAGCACATGCGTTGGCGTGTGCTGGACTCTCCATTCATAGATCTGTACATTTGGGATCGTTCCTAGCACTCATGTGATGTGATAGTTTGTTCGTGTGTTATTTTCTATTGGTGCAGGCTTTTATGCACCGCACCACTATCACATATGCAGGTGACACTCAATCACCGGATCATTCCTCAGCAGACGCATGTGAAACACGTTGCCAAGCAACCATACACAGCAGATGAACCACCACCGCCTAACGATCCATCAGCACACGCCTATAACACATGTCAACAATGCATTCTGTTGCTAACCAACCATCCGAACACTCTTCCATGCCTGTGTTGCAGATCACGAGTTTCTACAATGACGAGGAAGGATGCATCGAATGCTCCGCCATGAACCACTTTGCTGCTGGGCAACAGGTGTGGGGAAGGCTCACAGTGCTGGTTGCTTATTTACATTGTCTATGTATATGTTTATGTACCTTGTCTATGTATATGTTTATTTAACTTTTCTATGTATTTGTTTATGTACCTTTTCTATGTATTTGTTTATTTACTTTGTCTAGGTATTTGTTTATGTACCTTGTCTATGTATTTGTTTATTTACTTTGTCTATGTATGTGTTTATGTACCTTGTCTATGTATTTGTTTATGTACTTTGCCTATGTATTTGTTTATTTACTTTGTCTATGTATTTGTTAATTTATTTTCTAATTGTGTATAGCACTTTTTCATTGTTATATAGTCATCTTATTGTGTATATCCCTGTGCCCACGTGTACTTCTGCTGAGCTTCACTGCCGGTGCTGTGTTGCATTTGTTTGGCGTAAGTGTGGATGTCTGATGTGCGTGATTGTGCACTCATTTCTACGCGCACGTGGCTACGACTGAGCTAAACACAGAAACAGGCGTACAGTTCAGTTGAGTGTTGTGTATGAGGATGTCTTACTTTAAACAGGCGTATAGTTCAGCGGGGTGTTGTGTATGAGGATGTTTTACTTTAAACAGGCGTATAGTTCAGGGGAGTGTTGTGTATGATGATGTCTTACTTTAAACAGGCGTATAGTTCAGTTTAGTGTTGTGTATGAGGATGCCCTACTTTAAACAGGTATAGTTCAGTTGAGTGTTGTGTATGAGGATGTCTTACTTTAAACAGGCGTATAGTTCATGGGAGTGTTGTGTATGAGGATGTCTTACTTTAAACAGGCGTATAGTTCCAATTTGGGCCCGATGACCAGATGCAGACTAAGGCAGTGTGGCATTGGAATGATCCGGTAAAATTTATATACAAACTCACACACATCCCACCCCTCCATTAACCCACACACATCCCACCCCTCCAGTAACCCACACACATCCCACCCCTCCATTAACCCACACACATCCCACCCCTCCATTAACCCACACACATCCCACCCCTCCAGTAACCCACACACATCCCGCCCCTCCATCAACCCACACACATCCCACCCCTCCATTGACCCACACACATCCCACCCCTCCATTAACACACACACATCCCACCCCTCCATTAACCCACCCCTATGCCATATATATGCAATCCCCGGCATGCGACACCAAATGTGGTATGTGCAAATCATAGCACCACATGCGCACGGCAACAGAAATAGGAAATAGAACATAGACAATAGAAATAAGAAATAGAAAATAGGAAAAAGGAAATAGGAAATAGGCAATAGGAAATAGGAAATAGGAAATAGGAAATAGAAAATAGAGATTTTGAATTAAGAATTAAGAATTAGGATTCAGGAAATAGGAATTAAGAATTTGAAATCAGGAATTAAGAATTGGAAATAGGGAATAGAGATTTTGAATTAAGAATTAAGAATTAGGAAATAGGAAATAGGAATTAGGAATTTGAAATCAGGAATTAAGAATTAGAAATAGGAAATAGGAAGCAGAAGATAGGAAATAGGAAATAGAGATAAGGAATTAGAAATTAGGAAAAAAACGGGAAATAAGAAATAGGAGATAGGAAATAGGAGATAGGAAATCCTTTTACATATATATCCTTGCCTCTAATGCACTAACCATAACATAACATGTATGCTCTTCCGTGACTGGGTTGTATTTACGTAGGTAGCCATGTTCTATGGTCCTAGGACTACCGCTGAATTCCTGCTGTATAGTGGGTTCGTGCCCACTCCAAATACGTACGATACGTTGTCGCTGGTTCTGGGTGTGAGCACGAGAGACAAACTCTTTGCAAAGAAGCAGCAGGTGCTCAAGATGGTCTCAATGCCTATGTAAGTTATATGAACGCCTGTGTAAGTCATATCAATGCCTGTGTAAGTCATATCAATGCCTGTGTAAGTTATATGAATGCCTGTGCAAGTCATATCAATGCCTGTGTAACTCATATCAATGCCTGTGTATGTTATATGAATTCCTGTGTAAGTCACATCAATGCCTGTGTAAGTTATATCAATGCCTGTGTAAGTTATACCAATGCCTGTGTATGTTATATCAATGCCTGTGAGAGTTATATCAATGCCTGTGCAAGTTATATCAATGCCTGTGTAAGTTATATCAATGCTTGTGTGTGTTTTATCAATGCCTCTGTAAGTTATATTAATGCTTGTGTGTATTTTATCAATGCCTGTGTAAGTTATACCAATGCCTGTGTATGTTATATCAATGCCTGTGTAAGTTATAATAATGCCTGTGTAAGTTATACCAATGCCTGTGTATGTTATATCAATGCCTGTGTAAGTTATATCAATAAGTTATATCAATGCCTGTGTAAGTTATACCAATGCCTGTGTATTTTATATCAATGCCTGTGTAAGTTATATCAATGCCTGTGTAAGTTATACCAATTCCTGTGTAAGTTATATCAATGCCTGCGAGAGTTATATCAATAACTGTGCAAGTTATATCAATGCCTGTGTAAGTTATATCAATGCTCGTGTGTGTTTTATCCATGCCTGTGCAAGTTATATCAATGCTTGTGTGTGTTTTATCAATGCCTGTGTAAGTTATATCAATGCCTGTGTATGTCATATCAATGCCCATGTAAAGGCTTGTGTAAGTTGTATAAGTGTCGGTTATATGTGTGTAAGTTGTATATGTATAAGTAGTATTTGTGTCGGTTGTATGTGCGTATGGGTGTGTGATTGAGTCTCAGTTGTATATGAGGATTTACTGGTTTCCGAACTGTTTAACTGTTTAATTGTATAAGTGTTTGACTGTTTAATTGTTTAACTGTTTGACTGTTTAAGTATTTGAGTGTTTTAAGGTGTTTATTTGTTTAAATGTTACAAGTTTAACAGTTTAACTTTAACTGTCAACTTACACCAGCGTTGCTTAATGAATTGGTTGACTGTTCATTCCAATCCGTACTATCGTAGTGTGTTGAACTGTTTACCTGCTGACCCGTGTACCTGTTTGTTTAGTACTAACGCCCTTCCTTCCATTGCCCCTCTGGTCTCAGCACACTATCGTTTAAGTTGCCGAGGGACGTGTCTCTGTTGGGTCTGCCTGTGGAGTTGGTAGCGTTCCTTCGCGTGTATACGTCCAATGAAATGGAATTGGATGTCTTGGCAGCCCTCTCGCGCGAGCGGTTCACGGAGCACTTCCAACAGGTACAGTCACAGCTTGTTCGATGCACGTGGTTTTTGGATTCTGGGAGATTTAGTGCTTTTGGCTTCTTGTGTCTGAGGCGAGGGGTTTTGGCTTTTTGCTTTTTTAAGGTTTAAAATGTAGGGTTCTATGGTTTAGGTTTTAGGGTTTTGGATTTAGGGTTTAGAGTTTTATAGTTTTATAGGTTTAGGGTTTTAAAGTTTTAGGGGTTAGTTGGTCTTCTGCGGTCTGCTACCACCACACCCGTCTCTCAATGAACCAAACGCATCAGCACAGCGCAAGTCACATCAATTTGTACCACACACGCCCATGGGGCCGATGGCACATGGCAGAGCTAACTATGCCAGCGAAATCAGCTACCTGGCCAAATACAAACCAGTTGCTGAAAGCGTAGGCTTGTTAGAGTCCTCATTACATTTATCACGACAAATGAACTGGTCTGAGACGGGGTTTCCCCAATTTGTAGGCCCATATTTTTATTTATTTACAGACTCGCAGCACCAAGGTTAAATGACGCAAGCATGCACACCCTCTTGTTTTATCTAGTTATAGGGTTTTTGAGGTTTAGGGTTTTAAGGCTTGCCTCCCACACACACGTCTGCTCACAAATCCACACGTTCACTCTCCTGCAACGCAGGACGTGGGGGCGTTGGCATCAGACAAAGAATGGATCAAGTTCCTGCGGATGAGATGTCAGTTGTTGGCCATGAAGTATAAACCCGGCCAAGCACAGCCAGCCGATGTGGGGGATGTCGCCTGGGCACTCGCAGAGACAGTGAAGGCCAATGAGAAGCAGATACTAGACACGTACATAGCACACCTGAGTCGACTAGCCAACACGTAGCATACAGTGTCCGCAAGCATACACCCATCTACTGATAGTAAACGCCATTCGGTTGAAATGGGGTGGACGTATATACTTCTATACATTGCCTAGTTGGTTTGTAGTATATAGTTATTTAGTTGGCTTGTAGTATATAATTATTTGGTACATTGCCTAGTTGGCTTGTAGTATATAGTTATTTGGTACATTGCCTAGTTGGGTTGTAGTATATAGTTATTTGGTACATTGCCTAGTTGGTTTGTAGTACATAGTTATTTGGTACATTGCCTAGTTGGCCTGTAGTATATAGTTATTTGGTACATTGCCTAGTTGGTCTGTAGTATATAGTTATTGGGTACATTGCCTAGTTGGCTTGTAGTATATAGTTATCTGGTACATTGCCTAGTTGGCTTGTAGTATATAATTATTTGGTTCCCATCGTTTAACGCCGTGTTGCAGCTACCCTTCTGGCCGAAGTCACTCTCAGCATACCTGTCACGTGCAGTGTACATCCCACACCGCCCCCCTATCCTCACATGTCCCCATCGCATCCTCTCCTGCCATTCTTCTGACACTTTAACGTCTATTTCCGGTTCGTCTTCAACGTTCTCCAACCCTTCACGTAGATCAGTCCCTTCCACATTTGAGCCACCTGCGGTTAGCACGTGCCTGTGCTGTCTTCTGTGTCACACACACGGAGTCTTCATACGCTGCGGCTGATCTCCAGTGCCTCTGCCGCATACATAGGCGCTCGCCAGTCACAGACATGGGGCGAGTATCTGTGCATTGGATTGTGTTGTGTGGGAGAGAGCGAGGACAGTGAGCTGCTGGACGGATATTCACACACAATAGATACGCATGTATTATTGCAGCGGCAAAATACAAGAGATACTTATTATTACATCATTGTCAACATACAACATATACTTAGCAGTACACCCTTGTCAACATATGCCATGTACTTATCAAACAACCAGGCATCAGACATCCAGTGCAGTGTAGCCTGTGTGCGATACGCATTCACTGTGGCGTAGTGCTGCGTATTCACTGTGGCGTAGTGCTGATTTAATACGTATTCACTGTGGCGTAGCACTGATTCACAGTTGCGGTGGTGTGCCTGGACGAGTGGACCATACACATCACAGCAGAGGCACATGCTCAATGGACACACACATTCACATCCCGCAGAACCATCCGTGCGCACAATACTAACCCAATGCCCAGTACAGTGTGTATTAACCCAATGCCCAGTACAGTGTGTATTAACCCAATGCCCAGTACAGTGTGTACTAACCCAATGCCACGTACATCATGAGCATAAGTGATGGGTGCCTATAGTTACCCTGGACTGTTGTGTTCTATAAATAGATTTGGAGAAACGTACCTGTTCATAGTGTATGCCACGGCCATCTCATGAGTTGTGGAAAAGTGTATGAGACTGCCCCCAGCCCCGCCCCACCCCACAAACGCGCCTTTTGCGGCGTCAAACACCGGCTGGTTACACCAGGGGGGGGTCTGTACTATCGTCAGCATATCAGTATAACCCATGTGGGTGTACTGGATGTGGTCTTGTAGGACTGCGTCCTGTAGCCGTTCATGCTTCTTACATGCCTGCGCGATGGTGTAGGTAATAGGGACGGAATGAGATAATTAATGGTCATGGCATGCGTGTGTGTTTGTGTAGCTGTGCATGGGGTTAGGTTGTGGATAGCGTATATGAATCAGTTAGGGTGGAGGGGAGGGGGGGGGTGCAATGCCACACAGATACACATGATAAAACCCTGAAACAACCCAATACACATGGGTGATGTATACGAACACATTCATACAAGGAGTGCGTGACCCACTGGGGAAGAGTGGGGTTGAGTGTTTCATCAATCAGCTTAAGATATCTGGCAGGTGACGCTCACCCTCTGCGCATGTACAGTGCAATCATATACATCCTCGACGCATCGTGAATATATATATATATATATATATATAATATATATATATACATATACAGAAATATATAGAAATATATATATACATATATCTATATAAATATATATACATACATATATAGAAATATATATATATATATATATAAAATATATATAATCACACACAAACACGCACACACACATATATACACACACGCACACACGCACACACACACATATATATATATGCATACATGCATGTATAATACATACATACATATATACATACATACATGTATGTATTTGTGTATGTGTGTGCGCGTATACACTCACACACAGACACACACACACGCACACACATATATATATATAGATGTGTGTGTATAGTCCGTATTCTACACCTACCATTTGCACAGTTCCTGGCTTCATAAAGCGAATGCCAGTTTCCGGATCCACGCCGCTGTGGGCAAAGACATTCGCAATCCGCGCGAGCACAGCTGCGCGTGTAAAGCCATTAGTGGACGGAGAGTGCGTCTGCCTCCATTCGGTGTGTCGGCTGTACGCTGACAGTCCCCTGGGCCCGTCTTTCCAGATCTATTTATAGAACACAACAGTCTATAATTAGAATTGTAATCCCGCGGCTCTTGTGTTTATAACACGTGTGTGGGGGGTGTTCGCTTCGCCTACAGCCGTGGCTTCGTTCTCAGCACGTTTGATGGCATTGTACTGCCCTGTGTTGTGTATGTCCCATCCACAATCCGTTTGCTGAACACGTGGACCGCGAGTGATGAATGGGGTGTGCGTAGCAGATCACAGAGACACATATCACAGAGACACATACATGGCTGATGGAAGCATACTTCTACAAGTGTATGTATGTGTATAAATCATATTGAAGATTCAAAAAAAGAAGAAGGCACTTCTGGGATTAAAACAGCCACATACACAGTCGATGAAATACGTTAACAGCATATAAATATAAACAGACGACAAATACATTAACACTTATATTTATAAACAGATAATACGTGTTCGAATCATAGGAGTATATAAAAAGGCTTAGTAACCACTTGGGCACGCAAGCAAATAACCACACACAAGATATGACAAATGCTCACCTTGGCAAAGGCCATTAAAGGCACACTATTCGGATCTTTCTTGTTGATGAAGCTCATGACAAACTTGTGCTCGGGCTCCCTCAGATATACATCGTTGTAGATGTAACTGCACAACCTCTGGGATTCGTAGAGGTGGGCGTTTGAGAGTGCATTTGCATGTGAGAATAACGTATCAGTAAGACAGCCACGTGTGTGTTGGCTGATGAATCAACGGTGGCCGTAACAAGCGTTGAAAAGGTTAATGATATATATAGAGTGGGTATAGGGATCAATCATCCAGTCAAACTGCCATCATTTGCCAAAGAAATAGGTAGAAAGTAAGACATGCACAACACGTGCACCACAAAAACGTACAATATCTATTTACTGTACATATGATATCTGGAGATAGTCTCACTTTCTAACACACACACTCATATATATATATATATATATATAAACATACATGCATACATATATATATATAATATATATACATCTACAAATATGTAGATGTATATATATATAAATATGCATGTGTGTGTGCGTGTATGTATATATATATATATATATAAACATATAAAATTTCTATGTTGATGTGTTTATAAATAATTACTTCTACATACATACATACATACATACATATATATATATATATATAAAAATATATATATAGATAGATATATATATACATATATATATTTATATGTATATACATATATATATAGATATATAATGTAATATATATACATATACATATATGTATATGTATATATAAATATGTATATCTGTATATATATATATATATATATATATATAGTAATAATATATATACTATATAGAGATACATACTTACATACTAACCACTATATAGTTATATATATACTACTACTATATATATATATATATATATACACTATATATATATATATATATATTTATTATAATATATTCATAAGGCATAAACATACTATAGCACACATAGAGATACCGTTGGAAGGTAGAGGCGGGGCAAGATGCCAAACAACATTTTGTGCCATTTCATCGCATAGACTTCGCCAATGCGTGACTCCAGGTCTGATCCAGCCACTACTCCTATCCGGAAATCATGTATACCCATTGGCACAAGCACCTCCTGCACAGGAGTGGGTGGATGACGATAGAAGTATTGATATTGTTTACTGTTCCGTTATGTTTGTATATGTGTGATACATGGATTTTGTTTCTGGGTCTATGTCGCAGGTAAAATGACTCGATGAATACGAGCGATAGTTCCTATACTAGCCGAGTAAATATTCACTGTCGATGCAACATGACTCTGTCGCTGTGATACCGTGCAACGTTGGGGTCTAGGGTTTCTGTTCAAATAAAAAGCCCACAACTGGTTCTTACCATGACTTAGCACAATTGATATACAAAAACAATAATCTACACACCTCTTTTAAATTCCACCGTTATTACTAACACTACACACTCCACACGCACACCTCAGTTGCTTATAACTTGCACATAGGGTTTAGGGGTTGGTTTAAACTATAGATTTAGTTGTGGTCAGGAGGCTGAGCTGCGTGTACAACGCAGGTGTCTATTTCAGAGTACAGCTGACGAGTCCGAGTGCCTAACCTCTGCTGTATATGTATCTTATTTACCTACCGTTTTGTGTTCTATTAATAGACACAAACACCAATGATCAAGTCGCGATACATACATACCTCCTCAAGAAATGTATTTATTGACCGGTGCTTTGGATCGACAATCTTGCAGATCTCATTGGCGTACAGGCCCCTTGATACTATTGAAGGTGTGAGGGGTTGGTTGTGTTGTGCTTTTGCTGATGTAGGTACATCAATGTGTGAGCACTACAACATCACACACAAGGCGTAGCAGAATGTGCGCGACACTCGACCTTTGCGTACCAACACAAGCAACAAAGGCCCATGCATAACATAAGGCAACACATTACACTCACTTCCATGGCAACACATTGCACTCACTTCCATGGTAGCCTTGGTTGCCCATCTGCCGCCACGTGCGCGGGTCCATCTCAGTTTTCTCCAGAATGCTCCGCAGAGTGTCTCCGCTGTCGAGTGTCACGTCAAGTGGAATGCGCTCAGACACGCCGTGCACACCCCCCTACATTAGGTTAGGACGTACAAACCACACAACAAATAGGTGAGCATGTGCACTAGAAAGCAAGCATGTAGCAGGAATGGGTAAGTGAGAGAGAGACAGACACACATGTCATGCTCGCATGTGCATCCTCCAAAGAGAGGCTTTAAGGCTATAGTCCTTGACATGCGAATTAGACCCAATAGCACCAATAGCGAGACTGCATCTGAACACCACACACCACACCGTATAGACAAACACCTACTCCACCCCACCTGCCAAGCAGGGAAACAATAACTGCGCGCGAACGGCCACCATCCATAGACGCAGCGATTGGTGACTAACTACACAGCATGACTACCGAACGAGAGACCGCATACACTCCCCAGTACATACCGCGTGTGACATCAGATCTCCCACTGTGACACTCTCCTTCCCGTTCTGCGCAAAGGCAGGCCAGTAGGTAGCGATGGGCTCGTCTATTGCCAGCAGCCCTCGATCCACCAACATAGCCATGGCCATGGCACACACAAACTTGGTGGAGCTGAACACCAGCTGTACGGTGTCCTTCGCGTACGGAGTGGTGAAGGAGTCGTCTGTGAGGTGGTATGTCGTAGAGTTTGTGACCATGGAGAAGTGTGTATGATAGCGTCATATATGGCATACTTAGAGGGTGTGTGGTGGATTGTGGTGGGTAAGCACTATATGTGACCGACAGAAACACAAACCAATCGCCATATGCATCAATTCGAAGGCAGTGGGGTGCCTCTTATATATAAACACTCAAGTTTATATCATATAAGTATTCGTACATTCGATCTTGTTGCGCTCGAAAATCTGTGTTACAAACACAGACACGCTATTTCGCCCAACAGCTTAACAGAGACAGAGAGTACCACCCTTTACGTACAATTATGTCACTGGCAATTATGGCTAAACGAGTGTCGCGCACTCTAAGATAGCCCAGGTACATGGGGGTTGCTAACCAACAATAACCATCACAATGATCGTAATAGGTGAAATAACTATACTTCCTCACTCGCCATAATGAAGGTTAATGAAACTAACTAAAATTCTGATACTTTTCGTGGATGCATGGTGCATACCTGGGTAACCAAACGTGATATCTACCACCTTTTCTCCCTTTCTGTAGACTGTGAAATGGCCACCTATCTCGTAGCCCTCTTCAAAGTTTTTCTTGATAGGATCCAACACACCTGTAAAGGGTATGTAGACCTTAATACAATCATCATGTTCACAAAGACCGTGTATGCTAAGCCAATTGGTCGTAAAGATGTGTACTGGTTCAACATAGCCCACATAGTTAAACCTTGGGAAAGCTATGGAATGAGGTATGCCTCACTCTGAGCACATTCAATACAATACACAAAACAATCCTAAGGTACTGGAGCATTCTCATCTAATTTGATTTCTTGGATTCAAATTGGCGCCAACTTCGTTTCCGATATATGACGACTAGTTTTGAATGATATAACATCATGTATTTAGGCAAGTGGCAGCAGCAACAACAAGCACTAGTTTTGATCTAGATATATAACTCACCTTCCCAGCCTGGGGTGATATGACCGCTCCATATAAAATCGGGTTTACAGGCATCACCCACGAGTTGCCATTTCAGAGTTTTGGCAGGTGGCTTGTTGCCAAATAGACGCATCAGAGCAACAGATACGCCCACTATCGCACCGGCAGTTATAGCCAGATACCGCAGCGGTGGCCAAAACATGGTGTGTATCTGGTGGTGTGTATTCGATGAAAAGAATTAAGTAGTATGCGCCCGAAGAATCCTTGTTGCTGTCTGGTGTGACTGGCTGCTTTATTACTATCTAACATTTGTGTCTATTAAAAGAAAGGAGAGTATGTAAATATGTCTGTTTTATGTTTTGTACATAAATAGCCTCACTCTACATGCATCTTACTCTACATACATTTTACTCTACATACATTTTACTCTACATACATTTTACTCTACATACATTTTACTCTACATACATTTTACTCTACATACGTTTTACTCTACATATATTTTACTATTTATTTACTATGTGCTACGAGTGGACTATTTTTTTTTATAGACCACAAATAGTCTATATGAAGAAGGATACGGTTGAAATAAAAAATATATTTGGTTTGTTGTTTTTATAAAAAAACAAAGAAAAAGAATTGATCACTTTTAATGGCGTCATCACTTTTTCCATCTGCAACAGACTGCAAGTCTGCTATGTATTCTACATTTCTTTAGAGTAAAAAAACCCCCCCCTATATTTTTAGCCTTCCAAAAAAACAGACTAAAACTGAAAACATATTTTAGCCTTCTGAAAAATAACCCCAAAAAGGATACTTAAAAAAAAAGGGTGTATATTTAGTTTAGATTTTAGAAGGCTATGAAAAATATGTTATTTGATATTTTTATAGATTTTTAGAATTTATTTTATTTGTGCATAGCCTTCTAAATCCTACCTCATAAAGTTTAACGTTCAAACTTTTATAATAAAAAAGTTTTACGTTCAAAATCGAACTTTTAAGTTTCATATGGACCACTGTCAGTTGGATGGACGAAATTTTTGGGTCATGGTGTCAATATCAGAATTGTCACGTTTTTTTCAAACCGACCGTCGGCTGGCGCCCGCCTTCCTGGCCCGCCACAATGACCGTGTGTGATTTGCCTTTTGTAGTTTATATGTTATTCTACATGCTTTCCTTTCTGGCTTTGTATGTGCAATGACCGCGCATTCTGCTAGCTGCTGCCGCTGCTGTTTCCCATGACCGTGTGCCGTGTCCGTGACTGTGGTGACGACTGCGGCTGCGAAAGTATTTAAATTTTTGCTTCACTACATATTATATATAAATACACACACACACACACACACACACACACAATATATATATATATATATATATTATATATATACGTATATATATATATATATATATATATATATATGATCATATAATATATATATATATACTATATATATA